AGGTAGTATAATTTCTATCTGTGAAACTGAGGGCGATCATCAGATCCCTTAAACTATAGCTTAATTAATTAATAAAGAATATCCTGTAACCTGCCTTCACTAATTGTTCTTGCAAATTGCATACCCTCCTAGCTTCACATAGCTTAGGCAATATACATCACAAGACTCCTTTAACTGCCCCCTATAGATAACACTTCTGACGTATGGACCGCTGTGGTAATGGTTGATTAAGTTGTTTTTCAGGAACTTGGAGTCAGCTGCTGTCCAGTTCGAATCTGAGCCAATTAAGACTGGCTGGGACCACCAACCCGACAACTGGGCATGCACAAGTGTCCGCTCAGTAACCTTGTGACGTCAGAGGGTCACAAACTCCACCCTCAGACATGCTAACGCCGCCATTTCCTGAACGTGCATCCCATGAAAAAGCGCGTAATTCAGACAGGCCTGTGTAGAGCAGCGATTACCTCACCTTTTTCTGTACTCCAAACACCTTATACTCTCCACCCACAAATACCCCAAGCCCCTCGCCTTGGTGAGGCGGATTTGAGACTTGTTCTCCCGTCTCCTAGCTCAGCTTCCTCATGAGTAAACCCTTTCCCTGCTGCAAACCTCAGTGCTCAGCGTCTGGCTTGCTGCAAGTCGGGCAAATGAATTTGGTTCGGTAACATGTGCACTAGCGTAGTGCTGCAAATGATGTTTGATCACTAGGTACATGTTAGGCGGGGATTCCTGTCCTAAGGGTCTTCTAGCACTTAGGCCAGCTAGAGGACGGAGTGGGCATTTGGGGCCACTGATACCTAGGTCTATCTGAAGATGGAGCCCTGAGTAACAACCAGTCCCTCTGACAGCAAAAGTTGGTCTATTCCTTACCTTTCTGCTAGCTGAATAGAGTGAAAAAGAAATGGTCTTGCTGGTTAAAAAACCTAATGCTATATATTTAGAAAAGTTTCTCCAATTACTGGAAACACAAGTGTTCATTCAAAATAATAAAATGAAACAAAACAAGATGGGATAAACTCAGAGGCAATCCATCCCGTGCTTCTAGTTTTCTTGAACTGGGATACAGTTCCTGTTAAGAACACAACGTCCCTGAAATCTGTAGAGCAGAGCAGGCAGGGCAGCAGCAAGCTGTGATCCATGACTGTCCAGTCTCTCCTGCTTAAATCAGCTCCTATCTGTCTTTGGAGATATGCCACCTTTCCTGTCTGTACACATGTGTTGACTCTTTCCTGAACCATTTTGAGATGTCTGGTGAAAGCTGGATCTGGCATGTAAATGCTTGCTGAGTTTCCAAGCTCTGTAACAACTGTTTCCCTCCCCACATAAATGATCTGCTCAGCATAAGACTCAGCATAAGGCTGTTGCTTACTTGACTTTCAAACATTGGGTAACTCACCCCTAGGTGATCTCATTCAGTTTCAGGGTTTAAATACCATCTGTTTGCTGATGTCTCCCAACTCGCTATGTCCTCTAATCCAGAATTTTACCTGAACTCCTGCTTCTTATTTCAGGATCGCAACTGGGATGTCTCTTGGGCATCTCAAACCTCACACGTTCAGAACCTTGACCCCTGATTCCCATCCAGCAAACCTGTTCTTCCTGCAGGCTTCCGCATCTCAGCAAATGTCAACTCCACTCTTCCCCACGATCAGGCCAAAACCTTGGTATCATCCCATCCCTCATTACCCACATCTAATCCATCACAGAACTGTTGGTTCCACCTTCAAAGAACATCAATCCAGGATCAAGTCATTTCCTGCTGCCCCTACGTCTGTATCTGGCCCAAGCCCCGCCTTGTCTCTCGCCTGGTTAAACGCAACAGCTTCCTAACTCATCTTCCTGCTTCCCCTCTTGTGCCCTTTCATCTGCTTTCTCAGCACAGCAGCTAGAGGAGCCCTTTTTAAATTGCTGCTCCGCTTAGGATCATCCAGAGTCCTCCCATCTTAGAGTCAAGCCAGTGTCTTATGGATGAGAGGCCACAGTGATGCTCCCAGTTGCATTTCCTGCCCCTCTTCCTCTTCCTCACTGTGTTCCAGACCTACCGTCCTCCTTGTTTTTCCTTAAGCCCACCAAGAATTCTCCTGTATCTGAGCCTCTGCACTTGCTATGACTTGCCTGGACTGCTGTTTCCCTAGACAGCAGCCCGACTTCCACCCTCACTAACTTTGGGTTTCTGCTGAAATACCAGCTTACTAGTGGGGGAGTCCTTGACCCAACTGTCTAAAGCTGCACTTGGACCTTTGCTCCCCACATACACCTCTCCACCCCCTTACCTGTATTATTTTTCTCCATGGCATTCATCACTTATACTTGTATGCTTACTTGTATCCTTTGTCTCTCCTACGAGGATGTAAGGTCTATGAGGGTGGGACTTCATTTTGTTCACGGCTGTGTCCCTAGGGCCTGTATCAGTGACTAACACCTTCTAGTACACGTTTGTGGAATGAATAGCACCTTTTAATTCCATTTAAATGTTACTTCTGTAGGAAGCCTTCCATGACCCTCTAAGTCTCTGTGAACCGTCCCTCCCACAGCTGTCTGTGCTTTCCCTGTTACAGTACTTCTCACACTGCAGGGTGATTTCATGGTTAATTTATTAAAAACTCCCGTAAGAGCTGTATCTTTTTCGTTGATGAATCCCCAGTAGTTGCAAAGTGGTTAGCATATCATTGACACTCATATTTGTTAAATTGGATGCAACTTATACATATTTATATGCACATATAGTATACATAATGAGACTGGATTATAATTTGAGTGGAAACTCACATAATATAGAATTAACTATTTTAAAGTATGCAGTTCAGTGGTGTTTCATACATTCACCATGTTGTGCGGTCATCACCTCTATCCAGTTCCTAAGCATTTTCATCACCCCAAGAGGAAACCCCACCCCCATTAAGCAGTCACCACCACCACCTCCCCCTCGACTCCCTCCCTCACTCCAGCCCCTGGCAACTACTCACCTTCCTTCTGTCTCTATGGATTTACCCATTCTGGATATTTCACATAAATGGAACCCTACAATATGGGATTTGTTTTTGTCCGTGAGGTTTCAATATATGTGACGTGGAAAGTCTTTGGTAAAGCAAGACTGTTTTTAATCCTATTGGCATGTGTAGCAATAGGTCTAACCTGTATCTCTTTCTTCCTGTCAAGTACGTACCACTTGAAATGGCTAAATAAATGAATGTGAAACACTTTCTTCCAAGGTATCACTGTTATTTTACCAGAAGCCTTTTCTAGTGCAATGGCCAACCCTTCAAGCCTTCATCTTTCTCCGGCTCCCCCATCCTGTGTCTTTTATTCCATTCTCCCCCCACCCCCATAGTTTACCGTCTTCTCTCCCACCTCTTTCTTGATGCCTGCTGGGGTGAAAGTATTGGCGGTAAAAGACTAAAGCTGAGGGGAACTGATGAAAATCCATAAAATCATGAGAGGTAGAGAAAACCTGTGTAAGAACTTGTTCCCCAAATCTCAGAATCTTTTTGAAGCTTAAAGGAGCTAGTTTAAGGGAAAAGTAGAAAAGAAGTTCTATCTTATGTAGTAGATTGAATACATACAGAACTTGTTATCCCGGTGAAAAGATAAATAGCTTTAGGGTTTAGACAAATATACAGACAATAAATCAATAATACGCTGTTGAGAGGAAGCTGGGGAGAGGAGTTAACATCCAAGGGCAATTTCATTCCCTCCCACAAATGCCTCCTCCCAGGGGCAGGACTGGGCTGATGGGTTAACTGGAGCCTCCCCAACTGATCGAGTAGACTGTCTCTTCCTCGGAAATCATCCTGGAATTGCAGTCGGCTTCAGATTTTCAGAGGCAAATTTCACAAACCATCAGTTAACTTGCCCTTGGGTTGGACATTAACATATCTTGGACTTTGGGCTATTTCAGAGCTTGGAGGTGAGAGGGTGACAGGGGAAAAGAAAGGCGTGGAAACCAATACATTATTTTCCTTGTTACCAAGAACGGATTCAAATTTTATCTTGGAGGAGGCAAAAGCAAAGGTTTTGGATTACTTTAGGTTTTCAGTAGCCCGGTTAATTACCATGGAACACTTGAGAATTAGCTGAATAGTTTCAAAATTTTACATTTGATTAAACACCTTATTGAAGAAACAACACTTCTCTTTTACGCTTTGACATCAGCTTGTTTTTACTTTTAGACTTTTTAGTAATTTGGGGAGGGGGCCATATTAGCTTGAACCTGTCGTATATAATTCAGTCTATTGTAATATTCCAATGCAATGGTCTGAAACTGATTTGGTCCCAAAATATTGCATTGTTTCTAGACTAATGTTAATATGTATGGTTTAAACTGGGGTATGACAAAGTTTCTCTGAAACAAATAAATGAACAGTAACCAAATATTGTTTCCTTTTGCCAGTGAAAATAGCTGGCTCAGTGGATGGGCCAAAGAGAACTCAAACCAATGCAGTGAGATTTCTTTTCAAAAGCTTAGGCCTCTGAAATAAGGTGACTAGAAAAACTCAGAGGAGTTTTGAGCTCTGAAAATGAGGGTGTGCTTTTCTTTCAAAAAGAATCTGGTGAAATTTAGCGTAAAAGTGAAAATAACTTCAAGGCTTCAGGCATGATGCAGAGATTATTAATCCGAGAACAAAGGGCACTTGGCCAGTTAAAATAGTAATGATTTTAAGTAAGGACTACAACTTTCCCAGCAATGGCTGAAACCCAATTAGGTCTTTCCAACTGGAGTTGTAGTACCTTCTTCCAGATGATGCGGTTTGGCATAATACAGAATGAGTAAACATTCTTAGATGGGGAAAATATAATCAAAAGAAAATCATCTCGTAGCGTAGCTTGCCCTGAGCCAGTATTAATGAGTGGGGAGGGTGCATTTGCTAGTTAAAGAGTATATGCTAAAGCCTAGGGGTAGGAGGTCCCTTGAAAAGAGATGACAAGTCAGAGGACAAATGTTTTTAATTTGTGTGGTTTCCAGTAGGAAATAACTGATCAACTCACATGTGTTTGTTTAGGACCTACTTCATGGCTAGCCCTGTGCTGGGGATTGTTGGGTGTGCAGGAACTTAGCTCATTTGGGATCCTTGCATCCCTCCTCCTCCTCCTCATCGTCAAAACAGCCACGGTGAAATGAAATACGCATCAGGTACTGTGAATTTGTTATTTCGTTGAATGTTGGCAAATCCCCTGCACAGCAGATACTACTTTGCCTATTTCACAAATGGGAAAACTCCTGTTCAAAGAGATTAGACAACTTGCCCAAGGTCTTTTATCATTGGCAGAGTCCAAACCCAAAATTCTACATTTTCAATATCTATAAATCTTATTTGAATGTACTGAATTTTTTTAAATGTATGTTAAATCTGGTTAGTTTTAGTTCTCGATTATCTGGAGGAAGTTTTAGTTCAAAGCAAAGCTGAAATTTCCTTTTTCCACAAAACAGCTTAGTTTTCCATCTATTTCCACATAACTATATTATCAGTATGTGCGACAGCTATTTAAGTCATTTTGAAAGTCCCCTTTGGAGCTTTAAAATTATTTTTAATGTACATACATATTAATGGAAAGGGACAGATCTTTTGTTCCCCCGAAGACATTCCCTAATAAACAAATACAGCACATCTGAAATTATTTTGCTTTTATCTTGGCTAAAGTTTATTTAAGGGATCTACATTTTTTTTTTTTTTTTTTTTTTTTTTTTTGTACGCAGGCCTCTCTTTTTTTTGGCCTCTCCCTTTTCGGAGCACAGGCTCCGGACGCGCAGGCTCAGCGGCCATGGCTCACGGGCCCAGCCGCTCCACGGCATGTGGGATCTTCCCGGACCGGGGCACGAACCCGTGTCCCCTGCATCGGCAGACGGACTCTCAACCACTGCGCCACCAGGGGAGCCCCTAAGGGACCTACACTTTTTTAGGGACATTTAATTCACATACCATTAAATTCACTCTTTTAAAGCATACAATTCAGTAGTTTTGAATATACTCACAAAGATGTGCGACCACCACATTCTCACTGTTCCAGAAAGAAACCCTAGCCTATTAATGGTCACTCCCCATTCCGCCTTCACCCAGTCTCTGGCAACCACTAATCGATTTTCTCTTTTTTTTTAACTTTTAATTTTTTAAATTTTATTGGAGTATAGTTGATTTACAGTGTTGTGTTAGTTTCAGGTGTACAGCAAAGTAATTCAGTTATACATATACATATATTCATTCTTTTTCAGATTCTTTACCCATATAGTTTATCACAGAATATTGAGTTCCATGTGCTTTATAGTCAGTCCTTGTTGATTATCTATTTTATATATAGTAGTGTGTGTATGCTAATCCCAAACTCCTAATTTATCCCTCCCTGCCGTGTTTCCCCTTCGGTAACTAAATTTGTTTTTGCAATCTGTGAGTCTGTTTCTGTTTTATAAATAAGTTCATTTGTATCATTTTTTAAAATTAGATTCCACATATGAGTGATATCACATGATATTTGTCTTTCTCTGTCTGACTTACTTCACTTAGCATTATAATTCCTAGGTCCATCCACGTTGCTGCAAATAGCATTATTTCATTCTTTTTTATGGCTCATATTCCCTTGTATATATGTACCACCTCTTCTTTATCCATTCCTCTGTCGGTGGACATTTAGGTAGCTTCCATGTCTTGGCTATTGTAACCAGTGCTGCAATGAACACTGGGGTACCACAAATCTATTTCCTGTCTCTATAGATTTGCCTGTTCTGGACATTTCATATAAATGGAATCATACAATATGTGATCTTTCATGTTTGACTTTTTTCATGTAGTGTAATGTTTTCAAGGTTCGTCTGTGGTATAGATGTATGAGTAATTTATTCCTTTTTATGGCTGCATAGTATTCTATTGTATGGGTATACCACATTTTTTTAATATATTCGTCAGTTGATAAACATTTGGTTTGTTTCCAATTTTTGACTATTATGATAATACTTCTGTGAACACTCATGAAAATGTTTTTGTGTGGAGATATGTTTTCAGTTCTCTTGCATATATACAAGAGTAAAACGGCTGGGTTGTATGGTCATTAAGTTTAACTTTTTGAAGAACTGCCATACCGTTTCCTATAGCAACTGCACCATTTTACTTTCCTATCAGTAAGGTAAGAGGTTCTAATTTCCCCGCATTATACCTAATACTTGTTATTGTCTTTTAAATTTTTTTAATTATAGCTATTCTAGAAGGTGTGAGGTGGTATCTCATCACGGTTTTGATTTCCATTTCCCTAATAAATAATGATATTGAGCGTCTTTACCTGTTGACCATTGTATATCTTCTCTGGGAAAATATCTATTCAGGTCCTTTGCCTATTTTTTAATTGGGCTGTTTGTCTTTTTGTTGTTGAGTTTTAAGAGTTCTTTATATATTCTGGATACTAGACCTCTATCAGATATATGATTTACAAATATTTTTTCCTATTCTGTGGATTGTCTTTGAACTTTCTTGATACTGTCCTTTGAAGTGCAAGAGTTTAAAAATTTTTTCTGTTTGTGCGTTTGGTATCATGTCTAAGAAATCCTTGTCTAATGACAGATCAAAAAGACATATCTTTGTTTTCTTCTTGGAATTTTACAGTTTGCTCTTACATTTAGGTCTTTAATCTAGTTTTATATGTGGTGTGAGGTAGGGTTCCAACTTCAGTTTGTTTTTCCTTTGCTAAAATGAAATGTCTTGGCAGAATAGCAGAGTGATTAAAAGCTCAGGCTCTAGCCATCTAATTGCTGAGATCTAAATTCCTTTTATTTAGTTACTAGTTGTATGATCTTAAGAAAGCACCCTATATTCTCTATGCTTCATCTTTCTCATGTAAAGAGGGATAGAGTAGTAACTATTCATTAGTCTGCATTAAAATTCAAATCATAGAATTGTCGTAAGAATTGAGTCTGTGCATTTAAGGTGCTGATGGATGGTAAGCACTGACAGATAATAAGTTACCATCATCTCTGGCTCCATGAACTCTCTTTACATTTAGGATTATCTCAGAATCTCCTCTAGGTATAAGTTTTCAATGGCAGACTTGATAAGTGTCTCATCAAGAACAAGACTTAGATAGATTTTAATATACCTCGAATGATCCAACAGGGTTGGATGTGGGCTGAATTTATAGTTGTAGCTCACCACAAAAAGAAGCAAAGTATTTGGAGAAAGGCACTTACAATCTTTTACAGAGCTTCACAAAAATAAAGAGACTAAAGCAAGGCAAATGTATTAGTTTGCTAGGGCTGCTGTAACCAAGTACTACAAATGGATGGCTTAAACAACAGAAATTTATTTTTTCACAGTTCTGGAGGCTGTTGTGTCCAGTTTCCTCTTTTATCCTTTTTGGTGGCCCTGCCCACCACGGCCCCCTCTGGGGGGCCAGTCCTCTCATCCGGCTAGCATCAATTTGATCACACAGAAAAAGCCTAATTCCTACCAACGTGCAAGCAACTTAAAATGTTACCTGTCGATCCAATAATGGACTTCTTACCCAGGTAGTACCACCAAACTATGAACTGTTTGACTCCCAATAGGAGGAAGATCCGAAAGCCCAACTTATTTACAAAAAAGGCCGCCAGCCCTGATTTGACCTTCAGTACCCTGCCAGGAGCATGTCTTCTGCTACCAGTTGTCCCATGGATCCCTGCAAAACTAAGCTTCATGCTGCAGGGCCTGGGGCGGTGCCTTCTGACCTGTCTCTGCTGGGCCCCTCTCCACGTGAGTGGGTTCCAGTAAGAACCAGAAGTTACTTCTTCTAGGCATGGTACATTTTGATGCAGAAGCAAAGGCAGTGATTAACCCTAACACTGATGTATTTGTGGTGAAATTCTGATATTTTGCAACAAGCCAGTGAAGGCAGTGCATTGGAGAGGAACACATTTTTGCTAACTCGCTGATCTTTTCAAGTAGGGAACAAACTACCTTCATAGCACATCAGTCCTACTAAGACGAAAGGTCCTTAATTTGGTAGTTTGTAGAAAATATTTACCAGGAAACTTTCAGTTCACGTCACAAGAAGATTCTAGGTAATTTAGAGTTACTTGTCTCCTAATGTGAACTCAGTATTCTTAAAAAGACAAGGCAAGGGTTAGTGCTTCCTGGGATTTGGCTTCAAGTAATTAATACACGATTGCTACCTTCAACAAGGGACTCAGGCATGGGGTAAAAGTGTTGCCTTAGGGAGACTTCTGTCAAATGGATAATTCAAAAAAGTCATTCCTTTTGAGCTTGGAGTCATTAACTCCTCTAGTTACCAACTGTGAGAGTTATGTTTGAGCTTGTCTTGAAAATTACTTTAAAAAAAGGAATAGACAAGGGGCTGTTGACTTGGCTGTCACTTTATTTACACGTCTTAAGCAAGAAGCTGCATATACTTGTTTTAAGATCCATTTGGAATCCTACTGGCACTCTCCAGTAATCTCACAGAAGAGTCGGTCTGTGTTAGAATCAGCCCCTGCTACAGTGCGGGTCAGACTCGAAAGTTGTTACGGACCCTAGATAACTCATTCCTTTTTCTTTTTAATTCAGGAAAAGTAATATTCAAATACTTGTTCTTACATAATCATTTGAGCAGATCAATTCAAAGGAAACTCTTTTAGGACAAGCTCACTGTCCGGTACTTTGTTCAAAATGTGATAGCTCATCAAAGTGCTGTCAGTTCTCTTGGTTCTTAGTCAATGGGATGAACATGAGGAAAGGAGAGGGAATTCCAACTATCATAGTATTAGGGGTGTGGGGTAGGTATTTTAGTGTTTCTAGGGCTGCTGTAACAGAGTACATAGACAGGGTGGCTTAAATAACAGAAATGTATTGTCTCACATGTTTGGAAGCTGGGAAGTCTAAAATCAAGGCGTCAGCAGGGTTGGTTCCTTCTGAGGGCTGTGAGGGAAGGATCTATTCCCAGCCTCTCCTTGGCTCATAGATGGCCGTCTTCTCCCTACGTCTTCCTTCGATAAGGGCTCTGTGTCCAAATTTCTCCCTTTATAAAGACACAAGCCGTATTGGATTAGGACCCATCCTAATGACCTCATTTGAACTTGCTTACCTCTATAAAGACCCTATCTCCAAATAAGTTCACATTTTAAGGTATTAGGTTAGAACACCAACATATGAATTTGGCTGGGAGGGGGATGAAATTCAG